TAAGTGGGTTTTTTTTTTCAAAGAACTCAGTAGGCATGCTTATAGACCTATAAGACATGCACGTCATAGACAAGGATTTTGCCATCTGCCGTATTCGCATACCGGTATCTATTTATATGAGCACATTGAATTTATTACACACTCATCATACAATTTGAATGTTAACACTATCATCGTATGAGAACTCCATTATCATCATCATCATTAACATCAACATCAGAGTCATTATCATCATCATTTGACCTACATTACCATTTTCATTATCATTATTTTATAGTTAATATTATTATTATATCATTAATATTTTTATTGTTGTTAATTTTTATCGTTGTTATTGTTATTGCTATTGCTATTTATATTGTTATTACAGGCTATTATTATCATGGTTATTATTAAAATCATTATCATTAAAATTATCATTATTATAAAAATTCGAATTTTTTTTCTGAATGGTGGGTATTGAAGGACGCAGAGGCCCACTTGGTCATATACGCCTCCCCCCTCCCCCAAGTAAGTCCAGTAGTTCCGGGGGTTGATGGGAAACCAGGAAAATGGAGTAGTTGGTAAGGAATTACTAGGCCTAATGTTGTTGATGTTTAAACTGATCTTGTTTAAGGTCTGTGGCAGTGAAGTGTCGGTAAAAGCAGATGGCCAGTTTTATTTAGGGTAAATTTGCCTTTTGGAATTGTTTCCATCATATTCTATTAAAACTGAACTTCTACCGCTACATTAAGGCTCGAAGCATTACAATCATTTAAAATAAAATATATTTCAGAAACTCCTCTATTCTCAGTTCTCATTCTTTCTTATTTTTATAAATTTGACTTGCAGTGGTTGTTTCTTTTCATTAATCATATTTACTTTTACATCCTTTGTCTAAATCATATAAAATTGACCGCCGCGATCTTGACATTTCCGGTTGAGTTCGAGCCAAACGCAATCACCCTCAACAAGATTAAGAATAACACTGCTTGAAGTAGAGTCGTTTTTGTAAAAAGATGGTTTCTTTAAGATTTTGTGTTTGTACACGTGCTTATTAAAGTACGTGCCACATCGAATGTAATTGCAGTGTTCGTGTTTGGCATGATTGGAGTGATTCGCGCTACAGAAAACACACCCACGACTGGCGGAGTGAAAAGGTGATGATGGTGTGAATGCGGCCATTTCAACTTCAAATGTGCAAATAATTGGGTCCCCCTTCTCGCCTTTCAAACCTGGAATATAGTAATGAACGAAATGTAAATTACTTCTTTTTAGGTAAAGGTTTCTATTTATTTTCCTCAGTATTGCCACTCCGATCAGCCATCGCCACATCCATTATTCAGTCACATTGACGAGGATGACGACATCGCATTCGATGGTAATGATGACAACAATAATGAGGATAATGATGATAGAAATGAGGTGGTGGTGGTGATGATGTTGTTGATGTTGTTCATGATATTGAGGGGTAATCATATTCATCATCATCATCGATTGATGAGGTGATGATGTTGATCGATGATCACCACTATCATTATCATAATCATCATCATTATCATTATCATTAAAATGTTAATCAAATTATTATTATTATTATTATTATTATAAAAATTTCATTAATCATTATTATCATTATCATCATTATCGTTATTGTATTTGATAGGGAAGAAACATTCCATTATCAGTGATGTGTAAATATGATATTTTTGAGAAACATATTTTTATTTAATAAAGCATACAGTTTGAGTTACATGCATAACAATAACCCGGTTACATCATGTCAATATAATTTTTGGTGATCTTTCATGATTTATCATAACAGAACGTAGTCAGTTGACGAAATTTGACAAACATTCGCCGATAAAGTAAATTGTGGCGCCATTATTGGAAAGGAAGGGCTAGTTATATAGAAACAGTGTTAAGTAGGCCTATCAATACGAATCTCGATGGCGTTTTTCGACTTTTAGCTTTTAATGATTAATATAAGCTGTAAATGACGTAGTCTATACTGAGTTGAATCCCACTAACTTTGGGTTGCCATGAAGTTAAATATGATGTTATGTAAATAGGCCTAATTATTAGTAATGAAATTGTTATATCTCGTGTGATTTAGATTCAACACCTCTCGCAAATCAACTAGTAGGCCTATAGACACAACGACGTTCATTAAATTATATCAGTGGTGGATCCAGGAATTTGAAATAGAGTGGTCCCAGGGATGAACATTCAGAGATGAGATAGAAGGTCTTGACCACCTCAGCTCTACCATGGTTGGGCTGAGGCAAGAAAATTAATGATAATGGCACCTCTAGATGGCCGGAAATGACAATCGCAGAACTTCAATATAATTTTCTTTTTTTCTCGCTCGCTTGAATCCGCCAGTGTATATTTGGTTCGAAAGTCATCGAAGGGCCCCTCAAAATAAAGATGTACCTACAATTTAATGATGATTCAATTCAAAAGCTTATTTTTTTTTCTCTCTTTTGTGGGAGTTGCACCCACTTTTATTTCATTTCTCTTTTGTGGGAGTTGCACCAACTTTTATTTCATTTCTCTTTTCTTAGTTTAATAACATTTTTTTTTCTTTTTCAAAAGCTTATTTTGTAATAATATTTTAATGATCGTGGCACTTCAGTGGAGCCAATTGATAGGATAATAGATTCATAAACATGAAAAAAAGGCAAAGTGAGATGTGTGACAGGAGGATATAAAAATGAATGCATTGTCGGGGAGACACGGACGCCCATGGTGACTGGAATAAAAATCACTTCAGACAATTCTATCCACACGCCGCCTAGTATAAAATATTTTAAACGAGCTTCAAAAAAGAGAGTTGGTCGGAAGTTTACAAATAGATAAGTCACCGAAAGAAAATATCACATTTGGAAGAAACATGCATAGGCTAACGGAAGGATTTGGGATTTTTATACCGGTGATAAAGAAAAGAGGCAGGGTTTATAAGTTCATGTTGTTTTTAAGTTGAGGGTGCAAGTCCATATCAAAATCCAAAAGAACCTGGTGCTGTTTACTGATTCAATTTGAGATTTAATTACTATTGACATTTTTATTTCGCTTCAAATAACTTTGAAAATAGAGTTGGCCAACAGAGGAGGAAGAGCAATAATTCCAATACCCGAAGTTTTGCCTCACAAACGCACACAATGGCCAGCAGGTGAATAGATAGACCTTTCCGATTTTGGTGGGTGCGGAGTGTATGGCACGGGCTTGCAAACGTTTCCATCGACATAGTAGTTTGGCACGAGTTCCTTGATGATCTCAAAACCTCTTTTCTAGTTGACGCTTCCACATCTTTCTCACTAAACTTTAAAAATGTGTCCTTCATATTAATTCTTAATGAAATAATTTTGTTTTACATTAGAATTATCTTATTTATACCATTTTTATGTTTAAATATCTTAATTTTTAAATAATATTTAATTAGAGTTTCTTCAAAATTCAAGATTTTCCCCCTCTTGAAAAAGTTCAGTTAATTTTATCTCATTCTTAGGCCTACATGAGAAAATAAAATCAAGACATAGGCATTATTATTTTATTCCAATAATATTGAGTAGTTGGATACGTAGTCTTTCTTCCATGGATTGATGAACCGATAGACCTGACGAACGCACTTTCGTACATAAATTATTACGACGTTGAACCGAGAACAGTGTTTTTAATTGTTAATGTTAATTGAATGCTAGTTGGGCTAAGCCTAGTTTTTCCTATTTGCCAACATATGCCTAGGTTAGCATGCCTTCTGTAATCCAGTTACGTATTTTGTTACGTTTCTTCACAGAGGGGTTCGTCCGAACCCTTGAACCCCTGAACCCCCACCCCACCCCCGGATCCGCCACTGATATTTAACAGTTTTCAATCTTTTATGACAACCAGGCCTGTACATAGATCACAAATACATGATTCAACTGTATTTTTGGCTTCAAACCAATGATTTACACAAAGCTAGCATATTATATTATATTATTGAATGTGATGATCTTCAGAGCTATACCTGACATGATCAGTTTCCGTAGGACACGACATTTCCCCTTTTCAGTTTGACAGTTTTTATTACACCTCCGAGACTGGCTTAGTGATGACCGACGGCCTTCACTTGGCCCACAAAGTTGATACAGTTGGAAGCATAGCTGATTTAGGCCTAGGCCTATTGCAATTATATTACAGTTAAATACTAGTCATGAATTTTCCCTAAAATGCGTCCTCCAAGAAAACGTCGCAGTCATCACATTTGAATCAAAAGTATTGAATCAAACGCACGCCTAAAAAGAATAAGAGAATTTATTGTCCAATAAAACAGCTGAAAATTTGTTTTCCTCGCCAATATCATAATAATGAATAATATTAAGAATGCTGATGATTATGATGAAGATGATGATAATAATAGGAAAGTGATAATAATGTTAATAACGATAATAATAATTTACATATATTTATTTTAAATTTTACAGACATCCTGTTATTGTTTTAGCAATGGCAATATTTATATTTATTTGTTAATAATATTAGTATAATTCATACTGTAGTTTAAATTGTCTTTAAACAAGTATTTCCGTATTTCCGTAGAAGAATTACATTTCTTAGTTTAGCCACCATTTACAAGAAAATTAGGAACATCCGCTTTGCACAGTAGCCCATTTTCCTGATGTAATCTGCCAGAGTGTAATGTGGAAAAGCCACAAAAATATCAACTGAACTGGAACTTGCTCTAACTTCAGAGAGTGCATGATAGATCATAAGCCATAGGTTGTATCTGAAATTTTGTTAGAAGTTTCCAGACAATTTGAATTACGCGAACCACTCAACCCTAGGTCATCGACGCGTATTTATTGCCTACCGAACTACTCCATTGATAGAAATCTAACTTCACTTGAGTACATTCTGAAATAAATACCATCATAAGGTTATTAATGTTGGTCCGAGAATAGACAAGAAGTGTTTATATTACGATGATCTTGTACGCATGTCCAGTCACGTGCTTCCCCAGAGAAACATTTCCATAAAATTTGGGTATATAAATGCTGAGAGATGTCCCAAGTTGGCAAAACAAAAGTAGAGGCTTAAATAAGGTTTGTAGTCAAGGAATACCTGATATATTAGTGAGACCATATCAACGGGATTTTGTTGGAAGAAAATTTTACGAAGAACCGTGCTATTGATCTTTACTGTTAAGATGTGTATAAGAGACAGTATATATATTATAAATACGAAGCACGAATCTGTTCGTTGCATATAAACCTCTATATAACGTGAATGGTGAAATGATGTCTACATGATATAAAATTGTTTTGCTTTGATTGCTGAAGTCTTAATTAACAATATACCCAATTTTTGAAATATATGAGGAAAATAATATTGTCATCGACAATAATGTCAGAAAATACATATTTTGTATTTACAGGAATAGAAAAATGTTCTTTTTCCTGCTTGTGTTCCCATTACTAAGCAACATACAGATTTATGGCGAGGAGATGACCACCGATCAACCAGCATTAACAACGATGATACCTTACTCAACGACCGGATCAACGATACAACCCAAGAAGAACGGAACTCAAAAAGTTTGTGGATCGAGTTCAAACATTTGTCGACGAGGTTATGACGGGGCACAGGGAGCACAGGGACTACCTGGGGTGCAGGGGATCCAAGGACCAAGAGGGCCGCCAGGTAAGTTAATATTCTCGATGAGTCATGTGAAAATAAATATTGGGAACTTAAAGTGAACCTGTGGGGATTATGTCAACATCAGCGCGGAAAGACCTCGGTATTATCCGCTATATAAATTTCACTACATACATACACTACATACATCTACGTCTTGACGTTGTAGGGGGTCAAACAGAATACCATTTTCATAATAAATGAAAGATTTATGTCCACAGCCAATGTAAATAATATCTGGTCGTATATATACCATTTTCCATGTAAATAAATATTAACGGGCAAATCGCAATAGGCTTTGAAAATGATACTTATAGGCATTTTTTTATTACCACAACAGGAAAAACGCAATGGAAAAATCAACAAACGCGATGTGGGAAAGTTATCTGACATATTAAAATGATTTACGTTAACTGGTTGTCGGAGAAGGGCAAATATGACATTAGGCTTGCTACTCATTATGTTTGTTTATCAATTAGATATCCCACATGTTTTGCTATCTACGGTACTCACGACTCGCAAAAGAAAATTGCATCGCTTTAAAGAACGTTAATAATGTACTTTTATTACAGTTCAATAAAAAGAAATTGATGTTGTTTAAAGGTTTGTGAGCCACCGAATATATCAGTCGATACTTAAATGAGTTGAGAAACACATAGCTTTAATAATGTGATTTTAGCGTAGGAAAGAACCCTTGCCGTCGTCCGGTTATCATTAGAGATTGACATTTTTGGAACTTGGATAGGACGAAGACATGATAGAGTTCAAGCTATATTAAGTAAAATGTGTTAAATCATCATTCAATAAAAAATCAGCTAGACCATTCAATGATATTATTAACATATTTCGATAACATTTAAGTGGTTTTTATTTAATTAATTCATTAGGCATGCTTATAGGCCTATAGACACGCACGTCAGACAATGTTATTGCCATTTGCCGGTTTCGCATATCTATTTATAATTTATATGAGGCTATCGTTGGATTTATTTGAATTAAGTTATTGCTACATCATCGTTTTGTATAGACAGAAACTGTCACAAAAACTACCGGTAGTACATCGTTATCACTATCATCGTATGAGGACTCCATTTTTTAATTCATCATCATCGTCATCTTTATCATCACATGAACTATCATTATCAGCTTCATTATCATTATTTTTATAATTATTACTATTATTGTATTATTATTAGTTTTATTATTGTTGTTATTGATTGTTATTGTTGTTAATATTGTTCTGATTGCTATTGATCTTTACTGTTATTATAGGCTATGGTAATTATTATAATTATTATCATTATATTGATATCGTCATTTTCACAGGTATTGAAGGATGCAGGGGCCCACCTGGTCATATAGGCCCCCATGGAAGTCCAGGAGTTCCAGGGGTTGATGGGAAAGCAGGAAAAACTGGAGTAGTTGGTAAGGAATTCAGAGTAATGCTGTTTGTTTATACTGATCTTGCTTTAAGGTCTGTGATAATGGAGTGTCGGTAAAAGCAGGGGGTTCTTTTATTTACAGTACATTGACCTAAGTATATTTTCCATCGTATTCCATCAATCTGGACTACTATCCCTAAAAATGCCCTCTAGTTACCGAGATTGGTATTGATACTAACATTGTTTCTATATAAATAGATAACTAGCCCTTCTTCCCGAAAAATGGAGCCACAATTTACTCTACCGGCGAATGTTTGTCAAATTGCGTCAACTGACTACGTTCTGTTATGATAAATTAAGAATAAATTACCAAAAATTTTACTAAAATGATCACCGTGTTATTGTTATGCATATGAACATTTAACTCAAACAGTATGATTCATTAAATCAAAACGTATGGACGTGGCGATGGCTGATCGGATGGGGGATACTGAGATAAATAAATATACAACATTACTTAGAAAAGAAGTAATTTACATTTCGTTTTGTTATTATATTCCAGGTTTGAAAGGCGAGAAGGGGGACCCAGGTACTTGCACGTGTGAAGTTGAAAGGACCGCACCAGCATCATCTAGACAAGCTAGTGCATCTTATGTCATCCCTGCACAGACGTTCAACACACCACTTTCATCACCTTTTCTCGCCGCCAGTCGTGGGTCTGCGTTTTCTGTAGCACGAATCACTCCGATCATGCCAAACACAAACAACACTGCAATTACATTCGATGTGGTTTACGCTAATCTGGGCAACGATTTCGATATGAAAACTGGATTCTACAAGTGTCCACTAAATGGCACGTACTACTTTAATACGCACGTGTACAAACACAAAATTTTAAAGAAACCGTCTGTTCGTTTGTACAAAAACGATGAGTACATCATGGTAATTGACGATTTCGCCCCGCCAAATCGTCACGACTCCACGTCAAGCAGCGTTATACTTAGTCTCGTTGAGGGAGATCGCGTTTGGCTCGAACTCAACCGAAAAGTCAAGTTGCATCACAACCGATCGCGGCGGTCGATATTTACTGGGTTTCTTTTGTTTCCAGCCAATGCACACCCATAGTGAACTCAAGAAACTGCACTCGTGTAAATGGACCTTTCAAATTATCAATCAAACAACTGAAAAATCAAAACACAAACACACGCGCTGTCTCTGACGACCACAAAGGCACATGTTTACGTGCGTACGTGCATTACGCCGTCGTTGGGTTGGACCTTAGAACAATACCCAATGGGCAGGGCTTTTGAAAAGTTCATTCAGAATACTGTACTAAGAATGTATATGAACGTTTATATAGTATAGATTTTATATATTTAATACGGCGTGTAAATAAAATGTACAATTCGTTTTATAGATATTCTTTTAAGATTTTATTGTTTTTCATGTGGAATTACATATTCATAGACAAACACAACAGAAACATGTAAAGGCTATTTATAATGAATTTTACTGTAGCGAAAACTACTTTTTATCGGTTTCTGGAAGTTATTTTAATTTTAAAATGAGTTAGGCCAATCCAACGTTTCAATTGAATTGCTTAGACGTCCTTGATAGGGCTATAGAAATTGAACTGCGCATGCCCGTATTCAAAGTCACTCGACGTTGTGTGTATGTTGTTTATGTGCCGATCGACCTTGATATGGGCAGTTCAAACTATAAATTGATTAAAATAGTTGCAGCTGCAAGTATATTACCCAAGTTGAGAATTAGCTCGTGTAATGTTTTCCGCCTTCCAATTCTTAGATCTCTGAAGTCAAAGCTAATTATCACAAATGTATATAAACCCATCATTAAGGCATCACTCTGCATCCTAAAATCCAAATCAATGTTAAGACGTTCATTAAGAAATATTCTGTTATTTTAATAATGTTTAAGTGCAATGAGTTAACCACAACCATACGGCAAAAAAAAAATTACTGATGATCCCTTTGTCCATCACTGATGATCTTTGTCCTTGTAAGTGTTGTGGCTACGTATAACTCTAATAAATATTTGAATTTTTCTAGTGGAATTATTAACTTAAATCCCCTCGTGGTTTAAAATTTCGGTTTTCACCAGTCATAATTGTATATCTTATAAAGACCTAATTAAATATACCATGTAATTATGTATTGTGTAATCAAAATGTAGCGTTTCCGAAGTGATTACAAATAGGCCTATATAAAATTTAGTAAAATACATTTTTTTTTTTAAACAAAAGTCATAAAGTCACTTGCAGTAGACAAGAACGAATGCGCCGAAAAAACTGAAGATCGAATAAAGATCGTTCCGGAATATGGACTTGTCATGAACACATAATGAGGGTAATCATGACGACGATTATGAGGACAACACCAACAACTAACGACAGCCGTAATTAAATAACAAAAACGACGACCAAAACGATCGACAGTACCGGCAACACTAACGACGGCGGTCACAGCAAAAACGACAACAATAAATAGAACGACAAGAACAAAGACGAAGATCATGAAGACAAAAGTAACTAACAAGAAGAAGAAGATACTAAATATAGTTTGTATTTTGTTGCATGACACGGACTTAGACTTATATTTATCTTTATGTGTGGATGAATAAAGAAATATATAGAAAAAGACAAGAACAACAACAATTACTATGACAACGAAACAACAGCAATGACGACGGTCATTATATTACTGAAAAAATGACAACGATCATGAACACGACAACGGTGACAACAAAGACGAAATGACAAACACCATGTTGCAACAGCAACGGGCATGGCAACAACGACGACCGTAACGACAATGTTGACGACAACAACGCCGATGATCCTGACAACGTTTCTGATGCAGCATCAGAAACAAATGACAACAACGATCATTACAACGACGACCATCACTATATGCAACTACGACGATGACAACAACTACTAACACGAGAACGGCAACATCATTTGGCAAAAATAATGGCGATCATAATAACAACGATGAGAACTAGTTAGACACTAGCAAACGACGATGGTGATATCGACGGCCATGACGAAAACAACGACGTCGACTGATTTCACGATCAACCATAACGACACCATATCTATGGATAATACTGGTTTATGTGACAGCGTATCATCCCACCCATGGAGACACAGCAATAATCACAATTTCGTTGAAAAACATATCCAACATATGGTATCTGTCAGTTGAATTCGGTAATTAAAACTTAATCTGTCCAAGAATCATGAACGTGCTCATCCTCATCTTGATATTATATCACGAGTTGCCTCGGGTGAGATGTTAGCGATCAAGCTAACTGAAGGTCTCCGGAAACGATTTTTTCAAACAATCTTGACCTATTATTAAGTTGTAGATTGACTGTGATTGGTGATTATAACGAAATTATTCGAGCACTTATTTGTATTACTATTAAAGCTACCCGCCTTTATAACCCATCAAAAAGAGAAGATACAGGCGGTTTTCGCAGTTAGAAAAAAAAATAATGCAGGATGCAAACATCATGATCATCATTTTTTTAAATGTACAATAAAAAAACGAAAAGTACACAAGCGCATGTTACCAAAAGAATATTAGTATAAACAAGCATTTTAGGATATACAGATTCGTCATGAAAAAAAACAAACAATTAAATAAATTAAAACATTGCTCATTTAAATGGCCTACAGACATGTTTACTTGCAGACATTCTAGTACACACATTTTCAGTGTCTATTAATTAGAGCAGTATAATACAGTACTGTCTGTCGAAAAATCTGGAAAATCCCAGAAAAAGCAATTATTGAAAGAATTAAATCGCTTAGCTTTGAAAGGATCAAATACGTTATTATAAGTTTCAATGAAACACAGATCAAACAAAATAAGTTTTTATTTAATACCTGTAACTATACAAACCACACCTTAAATTGATTATTGCCAGGAGCTACTTCTTTTTTTTTGGGGAGGGGTGGTTATTAAATTTCGCAACGGCTACACTTATTTGATAACGATGTTTTTTGTAATAAATAATAAAAGATAGTCATTCACATATTTAACTTTACGACCATCAAGGTTAATTGGTTGTTGTTTTCTATAACCCAACTTACCAACTAATTCAAATATATAATTCTATTTTGAATGTAGCCCTATATTTTAGAATATGCATTGTATCTTTAAATATTTCAATATACCAAATTTTATTGTTCTAATTTATTAGGCCTATTTCAAAAAGACAGTTACTGTATCTTGGAAAGTATCCAATAGGCCTATTTACTCCATCTAGGCCTCCTAATCTAGATTATTTGCATTCCAAATGCTCGAGACATTTAAAAATTTCTGATAAGGCTTCAAGATGATGAACGAATGATCTATCATCTTCAAACGCACATGTGAACTTACTCATAAATAGCTGCTTGTTGATTACAGCCTGACATCTATATTCCAGTATGGAAGTACTCTTTTTACGTATCCGTATAAATAATGAATAATGGATATTTGTCAGCAAATGATTATGTGTAGCCCACTCACAGTGATATTTGAAAATTACGGTTGGTCGGTCGGTATTTTTGCCTATAGGCCTAGCTGACATAAAAAAATGATTTATTAATCACAAAATAAGGTATCGAATGTGATATGCCCAGCCTTGTCTTCACACAGTCGCATTGGCCTATTTAGTTTTATTTCTCGTTTAACACGCTAATTATACACCAAGACTAAACCACCAAAAATACAAATCACATTTACATATTTTCAGAATTCTTTATTTGTCTATAATCGAACTCAATTAAATTTCAAAACACATCAATTTTTGATATAATGTGTTTTCAGAGAATGAAATTTCTTAATGATTCAATACATTAAGCATGCAATTATTAAGTATGCCAGTCTAAACCAACATCCTCAATGCAGATTCTATAAACACAGATCAACTAAATAAACACTGCATTCATGTTAATAGGAGAGATCATTTATTTCTATAGGCCTGTGGCATCAACACTCATGCTGACTGAGCGATGTATACAAATAAATTCAAATGGTATTTCTGTGCCGGTGTCACTGACTGACTACCGGTATGAATTTCAGTGATAATAATGATTAAATTCCATACCTATCCTTAGGACATGGGTTCACCTTGCATTTCTCTAGAAGAAATTGCACAATATCTTTGTGACCTGAAATGAAATGAAATATATAAATAAGTTAAGTACCAAAATTGTTTCAATATCCATTATACCATTAGTAGGGCAGACAGAAAAAAATAGTAATAATGTAAAACTTACCATAGCACAAAATGCCGGAGCTATAATGCATTACATTTAAAAATAAGAATTTATGCCTTTCTGCAAAACCTAACTCTTATAAACCCAAAAATAAATATGCACACACACTCAACTTCTGTTGACTTTATTAATCTTGTTGAAAAAATTCTTGAAAGTTATGAGATGGCAATGTTTTTTTGGCTACCACATGATCAGTTATTTCAATCAGCCACAAAGTGGGGATACCAGCCAGCGAGGCGGTGGCAGTGACTTAAGCAGGCTGTTATCTTAAAATACCTAAAGAGTGAAATAATTAACAAATATTTTTTACACCTGTTGGTGTACAGTATGTAGCTATTCACATCTGTTGGTGAAAATATTATCACAGTGTGACAGTTTAATAATCACTGCTAAGAGGAAATTAACCTGTGCTCAAAAAGCCATCTTATAGTAACAAGCAGTGGTGAGTTCAGGGGTGGGGGGTGCAATAATCATACATTTTTTTTATCTCCATGGTGGGGCTGAGGTTGTCAAGACCCTCCATCTGTGAAAGTCTCTCTGGGTGCTCTTTATTTCAAATTCCTGGATCCACCACTGACAATTACCTTAAAATTTCTAATAATAACCCTGGGTTACAATTCTTTGATTGTTTTTTTAGGGTGGGTTACTATTAGAGTATGGGTTATTATTAGAGTTGTGGTTACTATTAGAGTAGTGGGTTACTATTACTAAGCTTAACCTTGTTATATTTATAAATTTAAAAACACATGTCCACATGTCATCTCTTCCACACCCCCACCCCACCCATCCACATACAACATCTTTTTATTTTTGTTATTTTCAAAATAAGGTGGGCATTATTAACAGTCAGTCTTCGAAACGAAAAGAAATATATAAAATAAAAGCGGCTCTTCCTTCTTTTTTTAGAAAATCTGTACGATTTAGGTTAACTTTTGATGGTTTTGTTGCTATTGGTACATATTGCCAAAGAAAAGTTGATTGATCGATGAACTATCAAAAGTTATACTGAAATATCCTTAGCTTGAATTAAAATTGGAACAATGCTCTGCATGCATTAAGGAAAATTACCAAGGAATAAATTCAAGGAAGGATCATCAATGACTCAATCACTTTGTGAGGAATGCCTATTTTAAGGGATAAATCATGCTAAAGTGACAAAAATGTTAATTTGAATGTCATTTTGTCTATAGCCATGGGTTGAGTTACTATTAGAGTAAATTACTAATACTAATGGGTTATTATTAGAAGTTCTACGGTATGCATTATGTCTGAGATCAAGCATGTACAATATCTAACATCAAGCATTAAAATAATAATCGTATTAACGTCTGTATTTTTTTGTAATTTGTTATTACAAATCTTTACTTTAGTTATCTGGAGGTCATTCACATTCACTTGCAATTTATTCTTTTCAGAAGTATTTGGGGATGCACTTTTATTCATATATAACAACAGGTTGGACAAAACACCAAAAACCTACTGAGTTTCCTGACACAAAAACCTTTTAAATACCTGCTGTTACTTGAAAAAGGGGGGTGGCTGGGGGGAAAAGTGTCAAGTTCGACCCTACTGGGAACAAGTCAAGTAGTCATGATAGCTGACTAGTAAAGCTTGGTTTCCATACAATCGCTACATGCTATCGTTGACAGCTTTCGGTGATGCTGATTGGTCGGTAGAATCGGGGAGCCTTCCTGGTTACATCACGGACTGCTACGCAAATACAACGATTGCAGTGATAACACTGTACAAGCGATATTAAGGAAACCAGGCTAAATCTGGAAGCATTCATTACCATCCTACGATTAATACAAATGTTGTGGTTGCAATACTTACCTTCAGCAGCTGCAATATGTAAAGCGGTTCGCAGGTCATAGTCAGCCTGCTCCATATTCAAGCCCTGTAGAGCATACTGCCGCATTGCACTCAAGTCATTATTGTATGCACCAAACAGAAGGTTTACAATACGTTTGCCCTGGAAAAAAACCCACAGAATTTGGTATTCACAGCTACTGGGCTAATAACAACATAATTACACAAATCATCAGGGTACACAAGCAGATATTAGAAACAAATACCAATTAACATAGTTTTTAGCATTGCAAATGACAACCTGCATTACAATTGACAAAAATAATTAAAAAAATATATTACACTAATATTTAGATATTAATATGTTGCATAACAATTTTCAAATGTTTTAGGCAAAAATTGTTTAAACATTTAGCAAACTATTGAAAAATTTGTTTGTTCGTTTGTTAATTAGTATGAATCACAGGAGCTACACAGTAGTGTCTTAATGTAGCTTCCTTTAGCAAATAATCATATATAATCGATTCTAGTTGCTGTTGTTAAGTGATTAGAACAGTCGTAGAAGGGTCACCGACGAGCAGGTTAACAGCATGACACCCCCCCCCCCATTTGTACTTCTGGGTGGAGAGAGGCAAACGTAAGTAAAGTGTCTTGTCAAAGGACACAAGCAATGCGACGAGCGCCTGTCTCAAACTCCCGATCTCACAATCAGAAGGCCAACACCTTACACGCTGTGCCTCACGCTCCTAAAAAAATTGTAATGAGGGATAAAAAAAAAATTTCATGGTGTAACCCCCAAAAAATTTCTGCACCAAGGTAATTTTATTTGTTTTTTGCATTTTTTTGTCGATTCCAAAAAATCATTATCAGCATGTGAGGTATAAAAAAAGTATAAGGGATAATAAACAGCTAGAATGGTTTAGTTAATGTTTACAGAATACACAGAATAGATCATTCATAGTGCGCCCTCTCTGCTACAGCAGGAATAGCAGTTGAGGAATTAATTTTGAAATCACTACTGTATGGTTATAAGCCCGATGGCTTACAACTACACGGTATCTTCCACATTCTTCTTAATGTTATTGTGAACAATTACCACACAGTCAGTGGTGGCAATCTTCTCATCAATATTATTAGTAATTAGCTAATAAACATAGTAAGAGCATGGTAAGAGTATATACTGTACAGTACAGCCTCCAATTCGAAACCACTTCTTCAAAGAACAAATTAACAATTTTCAATCTATCAACATTATGCTAACCCTCTATCAGGAGGCTGAACCCATAGACCACCCCAAATTACAGGTCCTAAAGGTGGCCTTGAATTGGAGGGCAAACTGTGGTGGTATATATAATAAACAGATTTATATTAATATTTTGTATTTCTAAAGACAAAAAACACATGTGTATATATAGTAGATAATGGATAGGTACAGTATTTGGGTAAGATTAAGTGAAGCATTCGATGTATGGAGGGAAGATAACACCATACACTGTAATGTTAAAAACACACAAATTAAATGCAATACTAAAGTATAAAAAATGTATAGTTTATCTAAGTCTCTTGGGGTCACCTATCATATTTAAGTGTACAAAACATTCTGTGACCCACCCTCCATCCAAAAAATCACATAATAAATTGTGACTCTTGTCTTGTGATTATAATTTTTTTTTTTTCATTTTAACAGAAAAGCACATAACCCCCTCTCCCCTGACATATGTTTTGTACTCTTGCAAAAATGATGAAAATAGTAGATGACCCTTTAATACAAGTGGGCTCTAGGGTAGAGTAGCAATAACAGAATAAGTTTTAGTGCACATGTTCCTGTTCCTAACATTCCAAAGGTCATTTTTTCGCTTGCAGAGGTCCCAAGTCTCCCACAAGTCACCCGGAAAATGGAACAGACTACCGCACTCCGCAAAGAAGCAAGAGTCTCCCGATAAAATAACTCATCTCCAAAAATTCATAATATTTGCATGTTTTTATTACTTTACCAGTGAGTTTTCGAATATTTGCATGTTTTTATTACTTTACCAGTGAGTTTTCGAACACTGTTACATCATAACATTTTTAGACAACACTTCCCCTGCAATAGCATATCTGTCACAGCATAGGTAACTGATACCTGTTGCATGAACCAAGGATCATATTCAGTTCATACAGCATATTGTGAAGAATTTTTTAGGCACAAATGACTGTAATGATTATGATGTATTCATATTCGTTATCGTTTGCAAAATCTTCCTACTAACAATTGTTTCGTGGAAGTCAGTGCAGCAAAATAAAATCAGATGTGTAACAAAGCTCATCCAAATTTCTCGGAAGTGACTTCTCCCAACTTGTGACCTCTGCGCTTGTGTACTTAACCAAAACAAATTTAATCTACCATAAACGCTCGAATAAGCACTGCTCTCAAATAAGCGCCGCACCAATCCTGATTTTTTTTAGCTAAGCGCCACTCTCCAATAAGCGCCGCGGTGCTTAATCAAGAGTTTATATTACCCTGTGTGTACTGAAATACCTTGAGAAACAGGGTTTTCAATTCAATGTATACAGTGTTAAAATGAATAAATAACAGAATAAACACACACATTTCTCTATAAATGTTTACTTACGATGACGTAGGACCTATGATAGGCCTAGTGAACTATGGGAATACATGACCTATGTAATATTGGAATGGGCACTTTTTATAAGCACCGCTCTTGAATAAACGCTGCTCTCGAATAAGCGCCGCACTGAAGCCTCCAGAAATTTTATAAGCGCCGCGGAATTTATTCAAGCATTTACGGTAATTACCATGTCATTCAGATGGGACACTGAGAAGTTTGTCTTACGTACATATAATGGCTCTGTACTAGAAAACAACTTTTAAAAAAACAATATTCAGGGGAAAAAATGGAATTGATTTGAGGATTAGCTGGGCATGCAAGGAAGGTAGATGAGTTATACTCTGGTGTGCAGTAGGCTTTCACCATCAATTTCCTCAATATAACTGCACTTTACACACAAAAATATTACTCTAATTGAAGAGATATATATCATCAGTCATAAAAAAAACCCTCAAAAATTAAATTAAAAGATAAGACAGAATAAGGATCAAATTAGTTAATAATGTCCAATGAAACCATAGAGATATAATAAGAATACTAGAGCGCTAACTGCAATGTATTCGATGTTCGAAATATGCAGAGCTGTGTGTGTGTACCATCCAAGATGGCTGCCATAGATTCAGCCAATCAAATTTCGCCTAAGCACTCTCAATTTCAATGGCGCCCTCAATTTACACAGAAAGTTCAGTACAGCTAGTTACCCGTATGTTTGAAACTCGAGCGTTGCGGTGTGTGGGTGTAATGTACCCGATTTCAATTTTTTTTAAATTTTTGAATAAAATGCTCTACTTGGCCTCTTTCCGTCTACGATAGTTTAATAATTTGTTATTATCAATACTAATTATCATTAATGAAGTAATAGTCAGTCAGAGGGCTTATTTATGGTAATAATATGTAAAGCCTGAAGGTGGTGCTTTCCTTCAGCGGCCATCTTGGATGGTACACATACACAACTCTGCATTTCTTCGCCATCTTGTCAGCACTCTAGTTGTTTAATAGCTCTACGAATGAAACACAGATCACTGCAAACAATTTTTTTTCTGATTTAACACATTTTTTTTAATACATAAAATCATTAAATTGATTACCAGCTTATATTAATGAATTATATTTTTGCTTGTTAACATATCAGAGATAGTAAATATTAGTTGTGATCCTCCTTTGGAATAAAGGAAAATGGAACAAACTGATTTATATTTTTTTATTATTAACAAAAATATATTAAATATGAACACAATTTTATTTATTTATTTGTTCTTTATACTGGGTCACACAGGATAAACATACACACATGATGCTTTACACAAACTAAATCTCAATATGAGGTTTAGGGAGTGGAGTTATTTTGGTCGTGCGAAAAAGTCCTGCAACTGACAGGAATTGAACCCATGACCCTGGGATTGGAAGCCTGGGGACCACCAAGCTATTCAACTCCACTCCAATAGTGTACTGGCAGAAAAGCCGAGGGGGAAAATGTAGGATTTATAGTTTCATTCTAACAAATTATGTGTTAGTCTGAAGGTTTGTCCTTTATCCTTTATCATAAGTTGACAACAACATGTTGAAATATGTACAGTATGTCTAAATATGGTCATGACATCATATCATGACCATATATAGGCACATCATGACCATATATAGGCACATCATGACCATATATAGGCACATCATTACCATATATAGGCACATCATGACCATATATAGGCACATCATGACCATATATAGGCACATCATGACCATATATAGGCA